AGTTCCTGAAGCAAAATCTGAGGGCGAGGCGTTCCATTTCGGCAATATCGAACTCTCTATAAGTTCTTAATAGTAGTCTAGCAAATCCTGGAATACCTTTGGTAGTGTGCATAATTTGATGGAGAAAATAAACTTTGATTGTTCGATTAGGACAAGTCGAGGCTCACGGAATCTTCAGTTTCCTTGCCCAAAGAACTGCTTGTTCGAGGGAACTGTCGGCTCACATGTAACGTTTTGTTGGTCATACCGTAGAACTCTTTGGCTAGCGATACATAATAATGGTTTTGTAAAATCGAAAAGAAAGTATGCTGAAGCGTTTAGAAATACAGTCTTCGTCCCCTCCCGGATCTTTGTGTTCTGCTACCTTGATTAGTCTGTTTTGCAGAATGGTGTTCTCAGTATCAATGGCAAAGAAATTCGTAATTTAACAGAAGGAGAGAAAAAAGAACTGGACGAGTACTGCAAAAAAACGATGCAGTGGGGCGAATCATTTGAATCAGGCATCCGAGGGGTAAAACGTTTCCTAAATATTTGTCCTTTGAAACACTGCCTGCATTTCAGATTTTGTGAACAGAGGGGGGAGGGCGGGGACGTGGAAGGCCGCGAGAGGTCATTTTCGGTGCTTAATCAGTGGATCATTTCCGCCTACGAACATACCAGCACGGTATTGACCAAGAAAACAAACAGTTTTTAATTTGCATCATGTAACAATGAGAAGATGGAACCATCGGCAATCATGACAGCAGATAGCTAAATAGTCAGAGGATTACTATCTGGTAAACGTTTAAAAGTACTTCTACCACTAGCAGATAAGTAAACAAGTAAGGAGGTGCTCACCAGTTAAAAGTATATCGGCCTTTACAATAATACCATATTATTCCTATTTTGAAGTTAATTTTTTTTCAAAGAAAATTTTTTTAAAAAAATTTGTATATTTCAGATGTTCCATCGACTTTTACAATCGATGGCGAACATGTGGAACAGTATGTGGGGAATGGATCACATGTTCCACCACCGTTCTCCAGCTTCGGAGAAGAATAGTACTACGGAAAACCCGCTGGTGAAATTAGACGGAGATAAAGAAACTGTGGATGCACGTAACACTACAAAACCATTCGGCTTCCCGGAACCACCGAAATTCTGTTTTGAAAAAGCTGAATAGTTTTGGTTACAGTAACTGGTACAGTTAACCTTATCATACTGTATGTCAATAATTACGGCACTTTGCGATCATTTTTCACAATGGCAATGTAACAGAAGCTTTAATTTAAGTGGTTTTTTAAATAAATTGTTTGGTTGCTTGAATTTATTGAGGTGTGCAGTACTACTACACTGTGAAACTCGTGTTTTATGATGTTCTTATAATCATTGTAGTTACACATATTTAAAAATTTTGCTATATTTGTTAATCTCACTTACTTGGTATACTCTACTGTAATACAACCATGTACATAAAATTTTCACTATTTTTGCATCATTTTAAACCAACTTTTTCGGAAATTTTGCGCTAATTATGCACAAACTCTGGCGCAGCGAAATGACACGCAATCATACAAGAGCTGAAATTTGCAACTTCAGCTTAATATTGGAGTTTTACAATTGCTGAAAATGCCAATACCACCTGGCCTGCCTTCAATGTGGAATCTTATGATGGTGATTTTACTGGAATGCCCCTGTATGCCAGGCGATTCGATTCTGGGTTGTATACATTTAGTAATTGCCCATCGCTTACTCGAATATATGCCTGAGTGGTTGCTTCTTTTCAGCGAGTAACATTCACTAATATTCGACATCCAGCAGTCGTCGGCAAGGCCAGTAGCACTTCCTGCTCACCAATTTGTACGTTCCCTTGTATAGCTGGGCAAATCAAACTTCAAAATTTAATATCTAGAAGACATGTTAAAGCCCTTGAGCTCTCCATGTGTCTTAGCCCAAACAAAACCTAACATTAAACTCGAAGGCCTAGAAAACGAGATTTTCTTTGTAGTTTTCAGCCGTCAATGAAATCAAAAGATTAATAGAACGGAATACAAAAGTCCATTGAGCGCCTTAATGAAGTTACTGATTAAGATTAAAAAAGAAATGCATATCAGTACCAGTGGGGCTAAATTTTTCCTCAGTGACATGACTAAAAAACCAGCTGTTATTAAGAAGGACATCAGCAACTTGATCAAACCCCCCTTTACATTCACAGCTTAGGCGGAATTATCTGGAAGTACTGCAAGGGCAGTGCAAGTGCCATGAACAATCGCCCGTTGGCAATGCTATAGACGGCTTTCTCGTTCGAAGGAGTCTATAAGCAAGCAGTTGGCGAAAGGGGTTGTTAAAAATCGGAATGCAGTATCATGAGTGCTGTGGATGTTTCTTTTTGAAGGATCTGTGACGTAAAACACGCGGTAAATTTGTGATTTTGTAAAATTAGGAGCGCTGGAGGGATAGGTATTGGATAGAACCAAGAATACACCCAGAATGGACTATTTCTGAAAGCTTTGGCAATTCACAAGTTAATTCACGCCCATGTTTACCAGGGGTTTTCAGGGATAAATGAGATCTAGGTTAAGAGAGCTTAGAGAGTGTTTTA